TCGCAAGTGCTCTTTGATGTCCTTCTCCAGGCACCAGAAATCGTTCAATTTTGTGAAATCTGATGCCTGTAGACCGCGTTGCAATGTGTAGAGTGCAGCTCTCATCTCTTCAACAGTGGGAACTGGCTCTTATTCCTCATCATCATCAACAACTTCCTCATATGCTTCTCCTCAATTCTTCACTTCTTCCTTCTGATTGATTTCATTGACCAAGTTCTGCTCAAAATCTTCCTCGCTTGTTTCCTCAGTGACTTCAACATCTGCATCGATTTCCACCCACTTAAGAAAGTCTTCCTTATCGATTTCTGACGGAGAAAGCACCACATCGGCGTGTCGCAAAATTAAAAATGAAAACAGATCACATCCGTCATCTTGTTTTGCGTAAGACTGGCCAAAATTATGTACCCAGTTGCGCACGCAGAGAGATGAGAATCTCGCTCTATCCTGTTGGCAAACTGGGCTTTGTAGCTGGCGACTTGGCTTATTAGCCGGCGGATTTTTCTATGTAAAATTCCGTCCAAAGCTGATTTGGGCTTAATACACGGCCGGGCCTATTAACCGTGGGCTTACTAACCGGCGACTACTGTAATAGGGGATTTACGGGTGTTGCTTATTGGGAAATCATAAAGGAACCGAGGACACGACTTAAAAAGGATTATGTAAGCCATCGATCATCTGTTTTGTCGAACTAAGCATGTAAGCAATATGTCGGCCCCATGGGGTTTCAACAAGGGTACCGGCAGTTAATGGCAGAATACCGATCGAAAGGGGATCTTCGATTGACGGAAAAGATGGAAGCAACCTGAACTAACCGAACGCCAACCAGTCGGAGGGTGGATGAAAGGCGTGAGAACAGCCGCATCAGTGCATTAAATGAATTACTAACCTCTAATATAAACTTCCAAGCCCAATAACTCCAAATTTAAACTTTGGGAGGCCCAGGTAGCAGGGGATTTCATGCCAATCTGCATATGACGGCACGAATGCGGAAACCAACGCTCTGAAAAAGTCAAACAAAAGCTGCTGATCCGCTGAAAACCACAACCTCGGGTACAATAAAATTTAAGAGCCCGATTTTGGAAAATGAACATCGTATGCGCGCAGCAAATGGCCTATAAATAGCGCAGTTACTTTACAGCAGATCCGACTTATTCGCTGGTAAACATGCTTACTAAAACAATTTCAGTGGCAATGATAAAAATATTTGACCAAGTGGTAATGCCTAATTTGACTACGCCAGGCAGTGTACTGTAAATATAGTGTTGCCGTACTGATCAGGGCACTCGGGTTCAAACCCCGACCCTACCAATCAGTCTACTAAAACGGAGTTCACGGTTTTTATCTAACTTATTTGTCATAAAGTCTACTAAACTGAGGAAATCTAGCACTTTTTCACCGTTGTACATATTTTAGGCAATCGTTATTGGTCGATAAAGACAGTTAATTAATCAGCAAACTAGCCTGGCAGATGCGTTGTTTGAAAGATATTATAGTGGAAACAAATTTTCGTAATCCACATACATATCTATATAGAGAAGGCTGTTCGATTTTCGGAACCATTTCTTCATTCATTTGAGATGTCTCACTCGTCGGAGATCAAACGGCAACAAGACACGCAGGAGATACAGAGGATAATAGCCAGTCAAATTCGATAACGCCTGTCTGGAGGTGAGTACATATGGCTCGATGTATTGATTGACTGAGTTCTCATAGGAGGTTCAGGCCTTAATCAATGTTCACTTTGTTTTGCTTCTAGTGTGAGCGATTATCTTGATGGCAGCGAAGTGAAACTCACGGGTGTGGGCACTCAGTTGTGATAATTGGTCGCACAGTCGCCTTATTTTTGTGTATTCGTCATCCGTGCATGCGTTTAGGCTGACCTGTGTGGAGGGGAACCTCGTTTGACGAGTTTTCTCCGTTACGGCACTGAGCTCGTCATGTGAAACGCTCGTCTTGCGAAGAGTAGCCAATCAAACTGCCTCAGTTCGCTGATTGGCTGCAGGCAACCGAGGACCCACGCCCTGGAAGAAAGACTCAACGGCGGACACAGGCGCACACACGCACTGACAGCTCGTTAACTGAGCGGCAGTTCGTCAAT